TTTGGTTTTTTACATAATATGCTGTTTTAAGTCTCAGTTTCCGAGGGGGAGTGACTCACTGATTGCTTGACTCAGTGATATGCTAGATTTAACCTTGCTGCACATGTTGACATGTTATGAGTTGCAACCACTGGAGTTTTTCCTTGAAGTTATGATTTCCGTGCACATAAACATTTTGAGTTAGACTGACCAGCTGAGATTGTTTATCTAAAGTTGTCAGGTTTGGTATGAATAGAATCTGTGGTGACCACTAAAATTTTCACTATCTTAATGAAGCTATTTGGTGTCATGTTTACCTCGGGTCAGGAATAACAAGATAGATGTGTAGTCTGTAAACAAGGTAGGTACATGTCTGATTAGGAAGGAATTAGAGACTGGTCAGCTGTCTTAAACGTCCACCTGGTATTGTGATAAATAAGCTAGTTATAAATCGGAGTGTCATCAGTGGCAAACAGTAGCAGCTCCAGGATATAGGCCATTCGTTACTCGTCAAAATCTGCTACATTCCTGTGGACCAAGGAAGCAGTGGCCTTAATTACCGGTAAGAGTGGAATTTTATCAGTAATTACAGCGATCGGGATGAAACAGGTAAGTAACAGGGATATAGGAAGGGAGGGGCCTGTAAATTGTAATACAGGTGGAAATTTGTCACCTCAGGAATACATTTCACTTGACATATACCTGTAGATGTTTTTTTCTAAGGCAAATAGGTCAGAAAAGAAAGTGAAATTTAATTCTCATGTAGTGTTTCAGTCTGTAAAAAGTAATTGAGAATTTTCATTTACCCTAGTAAATAAAGCATTGAATCCTGGCTTCAGTTTAGGCTGGAAAATTAAGGTTCATAGATCTTGTATGCATTGCATTTTCTTGCTAGAAATAATCTTTTGGAATTTGGCTAGTGTAGTGAATGGAGGATTTGTTTTAAAGAAATTTTCACTAGCACCTGCTGCAAACAGCAGCCAATAAACAGATGTTAAATGAAAAAATAGATTAAAACAGTTGATTAGTGAGTATATGTTCAAATGTAGAAATAAAAAAGTTCTTAATTAAAGCAATTATGAAGTAAAATTTTAAAAGTATTAAAATTCTAAAATACTAGACACAGACTTTTACTGTAAAGTTATAGTGTACTCAACACTGCCTGGGTTCTACTGATCAGTATCTAATTATAGGGATTGATGGCAATCAATAGTCAGCTATTTATCATGTTTAATATGGCATGTTTAATACCAGTACATGTACGTACACATCCAGTGGTGTTTGTTTGACCACTGACCAGAAGTGGCACACCAGGTGACCACTGGACAATTAATTGGTTGTTTAATTCTAATGAGCGATTATGTGGTGTTAATTGGTTTGGACCATTTTTACCTGGGGAGCTTTACAATGCAGACTGCTAGAGATCTTTAAAATCTCTTGCTTGATTGGAGAGGGACAAACTGTTGACAGTTTCAGGTTGATCGTGTTGATATGTGTACAAACATGCTTTTGAATTCATTTGATTATGGGACAAAATAATTTAACCAAAATAAGGGTTTGTATGTTTCTGGTTCTTGATTGGGAGTTGACTGGAACTTTTGTGGACTGTGACACACAGGCTTGTCTGTAAAGAAAACCACACACAGCCTTGTGAAATTGTCCCTTCTCTTCTATGACATTGTGGATATTTGGAATGCATATCAAGTTAAATATGACAGAAACCACAGGTAAATTTTTATATTAAAAAATAGATGTCATTTGCCAATTCTTTTACAGGACACTTGTAATAATGTAACCATGATAAATATTTTTATGCAAAATTCTTAGAAGAAAAAAATTACCGTATGTTATTTTGGGTTCTTTTTCTGAGTAAATTTTGAATTTCAAAATATTTAGAATGAAATTATACATGTGAAAGCGTTTTTTTCATTTAAATCTGAGAATATTGATGAAAAAAAATCAATGGCAGTGATAGGATGTACTTTATGTACAGAAGTAAGAGTGAGTCACTGGATCAATACCATAACAATGTCTCACCTGATCTGCCAGCTACTAGACTCTCCTCTCCTCTCCTTTCTCTCTCTTTCTCTCTCTGATAAGTTAGGTTATAGACATTCAAGAAGTTTAGTTTGCATGAGTTGACTCGTTAGGGGAGGCAACTCAACACGAAATTACTATTAAGTCTGTCCCCCCAGAGATAGAAATGTATAGTCAGGAATATTAATGAAACCTAACTTAATGCATTGCAGAAATTATTGACAATGACATTTCAATAATCATCTCTATAATGCTAATTATGATTAGTGGGAGTGTGCAGGAGGAACAAATATAACTCATGGAATTTTACGTATTGAATTCGAAGCCCCATGAATGGTGTCCTGTTCTCTCAATCAATGATTCTAACATTTTAAGTAATAATGTATACGTGTGTAATTTTTTGAGACATTTCTAAATATTATTATACAGCATACTGCTGACGAATATTTCTGTTTTATTTTGGTTTTGTTTCTTGACACATTCTTAGATTCCATCTCTTGTCCACTCAGAGGTATATTTAATTGTTACTTGTTCAATGTGATTTTTCTATTGGCAGAGTTTAAAGTCCTTGTTTTGCTTTCCTTCCAATTTGGCATTTAGTTTCAACTGTTTATTTCAATTCCGAGATTTCAAAGACATTAAAGAGAAAGAAAAAAAGATTAGGACTGTTTCAAGATCTGGGTTGTTTGAAGAGAAATGCAATATTTATGTTGGCAGGAAAAATTGAAAAAAAAAGCATATTTAATGAAAGAAACAGTCTCATTCATTAAATTTAATTAAGTGAATATGATTTGTGCATTAATGCTAGACTTTGTGTTGGAGTTCAGTCATTAAAGAGAAGTGTGTTTTGAATTAGTCCCCATGTGATCAGAGAACCGTGACCAATGAGAAATTTGACGCAGACATGACACAGGCCGGTTCATTCAGTGTTACATTGACTGGTTCATACATAATGTTATACATTGGAATGGACTTGTGAATCATTCTGTACTGACTGGCCAAATTGTTCTAAGGATGAAGGGCCCTGTTCCACACGCTGACCCATCTAAATGTATGTATAGGCCGTCAATTCTGTATTGTACTTGTCAAAAATTGTCACTCCTCATTATTTGTTTAAGTCAATTAAGGTCACAGAGGTGGAAAATGTCTGTTGTCATTTCTGACAGGTCAGATGAAGGGTAAACCAAGGAATACTCATTTGGGTATGTCTGGGTATGATCATTTAATCTGTTGATGTTGTTGTAATCTTCTGGAACATTTACACCCCCAGTTCCTACTTACACATTTGAAATTCTGGTGGTATCCATCTCTGATAGAGTTGTAAACAGTTACTTTATTATAATATACATTCTCAGTAAGTTTATTTGGTTTATATTCTTTATGTTATACATTTGTGAGAAATGTGATCTTTCTTTGTTCCTAATTAACCAGCTTCATGTATTAATTAAGCCCATTCTTTTTTATTTACTTGAAAGTTTTGAGTGGTTGCAGTGACCAGTCTTTGAACTAATGAACTTTATTTTGATTTCCGACAAGGAAGTTTTTAAGATTTCTGAGAGTTTGTAATACATATGTTTCTATAGCTAAGTGTACCACCACTCCTCAGGAATGACACATCGCTGATATTTAACGTTTTGGATTCAAGTTTTATGTTTTGAAATGTTTACAAAAAATAGTAATCTCCATATAATGAGGTCCGGGAATGTCTGAGTGTATCCAGAAACAGATTCTGATGAAGAAGATAAAAAAAAAATGATTAGCATGAAGCCATTTGAGTTTGAGGGGTCTCTGTGAGCCACATTAAGCTGCGCTTGGCCTACTAGCTTCCTGTTGGCCTGATTTTCAGTGAGAGAAGAGCAGGCATGTGCGAGGAAAACATATCAGGAAAATATTTAGTATTTGATGAGTTTTAATCATTCTCTGGATAGACTCTGTCTACTGCAGTATAAAGCTGGGCATTTTGTATATTTTTGGGCTGTTTTCACTTTGGTGAGTAAATTTGTTGCTTAAAAGTAACTTGAAAATATCTTCCCTGTTCATTACAACTGAAATCTTCATGTTCCGTTTCTTAGAGGAAATTCAATTATATTTTTTTTCTAAATTGTATTAGAAAGAAACAATGATTGTCACATGGAATCTAGCAGTTTTTACTCAGTTGTATATTTATTGGATTATCTCAGAGCAAATTGGATTTCTCCAGATTTATGGAGACGGTAATCAGAAATGATTGATATACAGGCCCTCATGTTTACAGGGAAAATTCCATCATTTAGAGCTTGACAAAGCTTTAATCTGTTGCTTCATTTCTAAAAGAAATTCATGATTTGAATCTTCTATTTCTTGACCAAGTTACAATTGAATTTGTTTCTTTGGAGCTTATGTGGTTAAAAAAATTATTTTAAAAAAGGAGTAATTATGAAACTTATACTCTTTATTAATGTTCTTTTTTAATTAATAAATTCAATGACTAATGATTTTCTGGACTGTCTTGTGTGTATATACGACTGCCCTTAGCAATGTAAAGGCCGGTTTACACTATGCATCTTGACACATGCATCTAAACTCATGCTTCAATTTTGCCTCATGCATCTTCTTATTTACACTATGTGTCTAGATGCATGCATCTTAGAATATTTTGTAAAGATGAAATTTATCTACTAAAAAAAATAACAATACCTTCAAATTTCATTTCCAAATTTATTTTAGCTGAACAAATCAATCTTAATTTCCTTTTTATGATAATTCTTGGAAGATATAATTTATATTTATTCCAAAACAAAAACTCCTCTATATTATAATGATCAAATAAGTTTTTCTAATTGTAGTTTTAATCAATATTTTCGGTTTTTGTGTATCTTGGGAAGCTATTTTTGAAACTATATGAAAAAAATAAGGCTCATGATTCAATATCAACTCTGACCTTTCTTTTCATTGGTCAGTTCCATGCATCTTGAAGCATGGAATAGAACAAGTTCTATTCCATCGTTCAAGATGCAACACCCTTTTAATTTGACACAAGGGGCTTTTACACTATGAATCTTGGCACATGCATCCAAGATGCATGTGTGAGAGAGAGAAATACCATAGTGTAAAACCGGCCTTTAGATTTCATAAACATGATAAACTTATGATAAAGGAAGTCTTGGCTGTGACATCACACAGACATAAACACGGAATTTATTATGAGAATGTTTCAAGATATCGTTAACAGTTCACAAGGTCAGAGTTATAAACTCTACTTAATTACTGGTGTATTTTATGCTGGATATAAATGGGAACACTAAGTTGTCAGAGTGCATCATAAACTCTGGACTCCATTTTGTACATCTTCCTGTCTTTTTGCAGAGAACACATGCACCTGCAGTTATGCTGATTATGACAAGTTGACAAGAAGTTTACGAGTTTTTGAGATCAGAGACATTGTGTAGTTTGTTAGAGTAGAGTTCCCATACAGTGTATAGAGTTGAGGGGAAATGACCCCTTCTTGTGTGGTTTTACTGGTTTACAAGTTCACACGTAATGTTTTGACTCTGGGGACAATATGGAAACTTGATCCCCAAGGAGTCACATACTTTTTGAGGAAGAATATCTGAGAAAAAAAATTGAACAAGTTAAGGGAAATTTATCATTTCATTTGATATGAAGGGGGAAAAATTGGAGAGTGATTGATTTTATAGAGCAGGTACTGTAACTATGAGATAATGTCAAAAGTTTATGTATGATAAAGTCCATGATGAAGTTAGTTTTTTAAAGTAAGAAAAGTTTCCTTGATCAGATTGTCAGTTTAGAAATGAAATAGATGAAGCTAACAACGATCCATCTTAAAAACAAAACAAACAACAAACAATGCACATCAGTAAACAGGATATAAAACATTTACCCCTGGAAATTCCAGAGTTGGGATTAGGTCCCAAGGAGGAGTAAGCTTCCCCTGTTGATTGGTCACACCGGCTCAGAGCCGTAGGTATTGATCAGGTAGAACTCGGATTATGTCTTGTCAACCTGTGGAAGCTTGGTTAACTTTGTCATGTGAAGAAATTTTTTTGTGATTTCTCTGTTCGACTATTGATTTAAAATAACCACTGAGACCTGCTTCACAAGCTGTCTCGACACACCTCTAACCTCAGTCATTGATTCTAGACACTTGTTGCAGTCTACACTGATTTCAGTTCACATCAAGGTTGGTTTCTCTTTTTAAGTTTTAACACTTGAAGATTCAGTTATGAACCTTGTAGCATTCTTGTTGGGAACTCGCTTAGTTGATGACATAGAGAAGTCTTGAGAATCTAAGGACACATTCTAGATGGTATATGGAGAAATTATAGGAAATGCCATTACAGAGTTTATCTGTGTGTCAGAAGCATGCATTATCTGCTGCTGCCAGGCCTAATGTTTTTAGTGTCAATGAATCGAACTCAAAAAGCCATCTATGTAACAACTGCAGCGAGACTGATATAAAATTATATTGACTCAGAGGGAATGTGCTTCAATCCTTCCCACTCAGATTATTTCTTGGAGGGAAAAGCTTTGAATTTTACATCAGTTGACATAGATGTTTTCAGTGATCACTTTCTCAAATGTTACGCCTATGTAGTTCATATAAATTAAATGTTTTTCATTTATTACAGACAGTGAATCTTCATTGAATCAAGGAGGATCCAGTAACGACTCCAAGCGACCAGCATTAGGAAGCAGAGAGAACACGATCCGATCAGAAAGTGCCCTCACCCCAACCAGAGGGGACCGCTATTCTGAAAAAGTTCGCTCAGCCTCAGAAAATGGGGCATTCTTCACAAACATGCCAAAACTGGCCTCAACAGCGGATGTGGAATTTAAAGAGTGTACAAATACTCCATCATATTTAAAACTTAGTTGCGCTGTGAGTGGTTATGGGAGATATAGTCAGTACAGTTCATATAAATCTATAGAGAAACGCTCACCGTATTCTAGCTGTTCATCTTTACAATCGGATTACAAAATGCCGGTCACCAGAGTGACCTCTCCTATGAGAAGAACTTCTGCCTCTAACAGTACTCTAGAACTGGGCCTTATATGTCCCCAGCCCTTAGTGTATGATAATGGACTTGTTACAAATGGTGCATCAGGGAACGGACAGGGTGTGTTACCAGACGATCACTACCCCACGGGAGACAAACAACAGGTAAACATTACTGGAGTGGAAGGGGTGGGGGATGCACTATTGTCAAGGGTCATTGGTAATGTGATCATTTAGCTCACTTGAATCAGTTCAAGGAGTATCAGGAAATCATTGTAATAGTTACAGTCATAATTAAAAAATTTATAAATGTTAATGACTATTTACTATGAATTTGATTTTATGTTCAGAACTGTAGATACATCATCAGACTTCATAAGCTGGTATAAATAGATTTATTGGATTGTGTTTGTTGATCTAAATATACTTGTCATATATCATGAATATATAATGAAACTGTCCAAAATTTAATAATTCTTGAAGAATTATCTCATTCATTATAGTTAGTATTAATATCTGACAGAAGTGAAGAATCTGTTGTGCCATGTAAGACGTGAGTTATGACTCTCCTGGATCTATTTTTAGGATGGGGAATACTTCCTGAGACTTACCCAGCAGTGGGAGGACCGATTAATGTCCCACTGTCGTCAGATAGAGGGAGACCTAGAGAGTCCCAGCACCCCAGAGGACGGTAAGGAATGTGTTTGGGCTATAGGTCTACATACATCAAGTGTGTAGGTTTATTGTACCATAAGTTTGCATACATGTACAGTTGAACTTTGGTATCTCAAACACCGATAGCTCAAATATCATGGATATGTCAAAGTGATTTGGAAGTCCTGGCAATGATTTTTTTGTGGTGAATTTTACCCTCAGTGTCTTTTAAGAATTTTTAATTTTTTCTCTCGGTCCAATCAAGTTTGACATAAATTTAGATTGTATTTAAAAGTTCCAGTATTCCTTCTGGTAGTAGTTTATCATACTAATCATGCTAATGGAAGTCATTTATGATAGTGCTGGTCATGGAGGAGGAGAATTATATTTGTTCTAGGTTATAGTTAGAGCACTATACACATGATACAGGATTGTGCATTTCTATTTGGGATGAAGATCCTAGACTGAGTACTTCTGTGAAGGATAACAGGGCAAAACACATTAGAAACATGATGCTCAATAAACCATTACGACCCCTCCTCTACCATATCTACATACATACAGATGACTTGGATTAGGTCTTCCCCACCCTGTGTTATACACACTGCTCTGCAGCCCACCCTGTATTTGTACACAGACCTTCACATACAGAACTGATTCACAGACAAGAAATGGATACATTTTGAGTGCAGTTGTGATATGGCCCAGATATTTTTGTGATTTAATCATTTTATTTTTGTGCTTTGAGAGTTCAACTAAGTGCACAGCATCAACAGGATCATGTTTAGTGATTCATACATCAAGTATTTTTAGTACTAATGATAGCATGGCTGTAAAAAATATATAATTATACCCCACGCAACTAGTTGCGGGAGGTATAATGTTTTTGACCCGTCTGTCAGTCAGTCCGTCAGTCAGTCAGTCAGTCCTCTTTTTTTTGTCAGCGCAACTCCTCATAAACCACTGCACAGAATTTCGTCAAACTTTGCAGGTATTTAGGACACATTGTGTAGATGTGCATATTACCAGGAAATTCCGATTCCATTATTTTTTCCGGGAATTTCCGCACTTTTTAACTTAGGCATTTGGCCATACCTTGAATATAGAGATGAACAGTTTGTCAGCGCAACTCCTCATAAACCGCTGCACAGAATTTCGTCAAACTTTGCAGATATTTAAAACACAATGTGTAGATGTGCATATTACCAGGAAATTCCGATTCCATTATTTTTTCCAGGAATTTCCGCACTTTTTAACTTAGGCATTTGGCCATACCTTGAATATAGAGATGAACAGTTTGTCAGCGCAACTCCTCATAAACTGCTGCACAGAATTTCGTCAAACTTTGCAGGTATTTAGGACACAATGTGTAGATGTGCATATTCCCAAGAAATTCCGATTCAATTATTTTTTCCGGGACTTTCCCCACTTTTTAACTTAGGCATTTGGCCATACCTTTTATATAGAGATGAACAGTTTGTCAGCGCAACTCTTCATAAACCGCTGCACAGAATTTCGTCAAACTTTGCAGATATTTAGGACACAATATGTAGATGTGCATATTACCAGGAAATTCCGATTCCATTATTTTTTCCAGGACTTTCCGCACTAAATACTCAGGTTTTTGGCCATACCTTGAATATAGAGATGAACAGTTTGTCAGCGCAACTCCTCATAAACTGCTGCACAGAATTTCGTTAAACTTTGCAGATATTTAGGACACAATGTGTAGATGTGCCTATTACCAGGAAATTCCGATTCCATTATTTTTCCGGGACTTCCCCGCACTAAAAACTTGGGTTTTTGGCCATACCTTTTATATAGAGATGAACAGTTTGTCAGCGCAACTCCTCATAAATCGCTGCACAGAATTTCGTTAAACTTTGCAGATATTTAGGATACAATATGTAGATGTGCATATTACCAGGAAATTCCGATTCCTTTATTTTTCCGGGAATTTCCACACTTTCCAACTTAGACTTTTTGGCCATATTTTGAATATACAGATGAACAGTTTGTCAGCACTACTCCTCTTAAACTGTTGTACATAGTTTTGTCAACCTATGCAGATATTTAGGACATATTCCATTATTTTATCCCAAAGAGTTTTGCCTATTATTCAAGAAAATTTCTCCCCCTCCCCAACCACTTCAAATTAATGTTTGGATTGTATAATGCCAAGAAATTTTGATTCCATTATTTATCTAGAAACTTCATTCCACATTTAAATGTCCTCATATGCAAGACATTTTGATGTGAAGATTTTTTGCAATTATTGCCGTTTTTGATCTATACTATGTATTTAAAGTGCACTAGCTGTGCCTTTCATTATGTGTTTCACAGTAAGATTTTTGGGGAGCGTGGGGTATGTGGGCTAGCTCACTTTTTCTTTGATTGTCATTTAAAAACGGAACAGAATTAAGCAAGGAATTCACAAGATCTGTTTCGTGAATGTAAAGTATACGTACAAAGAGTCTATTTAAGTGAGGTGGGATCACTTGCGGGCTGTTGTTTTTGATTACATAATTTTGATTTTTATGTTCGCAGTTGATCATTTAAACAACAAAATGAATATTAGATTTTGTACTTTGATCAAACTGATATAGGCCCTTAAATATTATTATCTGATATTGATAATTTAAAAATATTCTAGAAACTGCTTATGTTTAAAGATTAACATGAAAAATCAGACTTCATACCTTTTGTAAATAAATTCAAAGACCATATTTCAAAGTCTTCAAAAATGAAATTTAGATAGGAATGTGTAAAATTGTGTGTTATTTTTAGAGACAGATTAGACTTTAACATTTGTCTAACAGCTGTCCCTTTTGTTTGACAGTGCGAGGTAAAATCCGAGCAGCTGTGGGTAAAGCTAATCTGCTGATCTCCCAGAAGTTTAAGCAGTTCCGGGAGCTGTGTGCTGAACACATGGTGAGTGATCTCCCCTGAAATAGTTGAAGCTTCTTCGAGAAGAGAGCATTCATATCCTCTTCTCTTACAAGTCTAGCAATAAAATTTCATTCAACATGTTCAGGTTTTGTCAATACTTAGTAATCAGATAATTTAATCCAAGTTCATTTAATACTCTGTTATTTGAAATAGGCACATGATCGTGAACAGATTCTTAATTTGTTATTGTGTAAAGACTATTTTGGAAAGCAAAAATCAGTTTTTCAGAATATTCCATCTCCCTTTTTTATACTGATAATAAAAAAAAATGTTTTGCTCAATGTATATGTCCACTTTTGTAGATTTTTTTTTTGGCATGGGAAAAGGCAAAAAATTCTTGGAGGAACAATTGCAAGTCATGTTCACCTTTATGAAATTTAAGAATAAAATGTAGGTATTGTTATATATTTATTGTAGAATCCCTCTGAGGATGGTAAGGTGTTGAAGTGGGCGGACCTACAGGGATTCTGGGATATGATTAAGATCCAGGCGGACAATATCGATGACCACTTTGCAGAGCTGGACCTGATGAGACAGAATGGGTGGAAGGAACTCGCAGTCCATGTAGGTCACAGTGTGCAGTCAAATCAACAATGAAAACTGCTAATATTGCATAAATATCTTGATTTTTTTCCTCACAAAAATAAATGCATAATCTGCAATCTAAGGGATTAATTTTTATGTATTATTTTATTGAAGAGCTTGTTTTGGATATTTATCAAAATTTTCTTTTTAAACATAAGAATATGCAACTTTTTTTCTCTCTGTTTTCCATGTCAGACCAATGATGTACTGTAGATTCCTTATTTTTCGCGAGTACCGGTACTTTTTATCGCGTATTGACTCTTTAGCGTCAGATCGCGAGAATTAAAATTCTCGAATGGACAGTTGATCAACACAATTAAAAATTGATTTCAGCACCTTAAAAATAAAAGCGAGTAATATTATTTCGCGAGTAATGCTTCACGCGAAATTACGCGGAAATTAATTCCTCGCGTATAATTAGGAATCTACAGTATTGTTCTGTTGAAAAAATAGGGATCAGTGTTGTTCAATTGAAGAATAGGGATCAAATATCCATATCAAGTTTTTGCACCTAATGCATTTGTTGATGTTTGAGTCGCTTAGAAGTGGATCAATATAGTTATTTAATAACATCTAGCATGTAGAGGATTATCTGATCAAGAGAAAATTGGGTCACAGTAATATAATTAGCTATTGATTTTCTACTCCATTAGAAATGGATAGTAGCAAAAGAACCATAAAACCACTAATAGAATGTATCAAATCTCCAACAGTATAAAAATAAACATTAATTTATACACATATATTTACCAGACTCTGAGTGGGGGATTATTTACATATTAAGGTCAGACATATTCCTGAAATCTCTTTAATATTAATATCTTTTTTAAAGTTCCCTCCTGTATATAGGCTGTTCCTATTTAAATGTGTTGAAGGATAAATTCAATGGGGATTTCTGAATGTACCGGTAATTGAGCAGTTGTATCAGTCTGATTACAGGCATAATGTATCATAAGATCTCTTGTCCAGGCATTTATGTTTGAGGTTTCAAGCCTTTTATATATAGAATAGAAATGTTTTCAAAACTATTTAGCAATTGTTATTTTTCACATAATCCCAAAAAAATTTCCACAGAAATAATTTTTTGAGTAGAGAAGATTTTTTTAATTTTAAATAGAGCATAAATTTATATACCAGTATCATTTTTGTTTAGATTCCTTAAAAATAAAGTACATATATATTGTATAAAAATAATGCATTCAGTAAAGTAGAACTCCATTATTATATTTACAGAAATGCTATAAATATAATTTTGTTTTGTAGTCAAGAGGAAGTTCTGTAAATTCAAGTCCAAAGTCTGGAAGTATATCACTGAGTAATGGTAGCACGCCTAGCGGAACACCGGGATCTCGAAGGAAAGCTCCCAAAGCAAAAGACACGCCAGATTCCTCACCAGAGAGAACAGAAAAAATGAGGGCAGCAGCAAAGGCACGTGAGGAGGCGCGCAAGAAAATGCTGGCGGATCGACGGGCAGCAATGAAACAGAAACAAAAACAGGAGGATGTGGAGATATTCTCCTGAAAACGGATGTTAATGTACGAAAATGTACAAGTCTGTCGAGGTGGTATTCAACTCCTCAAAGAAGTGGAAACAGACCTTATTTATTACTGAGCTGCCAAAGTGTCAAGTATTCTGAAGCAAGTACTGGTGCCATAGAAAAGGTGTTATGATTTCATTTTGATGTGAACTGAACAAATTCAAAAGGCCAAGAGAAAATTTCGGAAGATTTTTAATAGTGATATTGCACACTATTCCTGGCCAGCAAGTTCACTATATACTCCCTGTCTGAAAAAAGATTGGATTTTACTTGTATCTGATGTTGTTATGGCTTGGAAACTTTGTGGTTGATATCCAATGTGCAATATTTGTGAATTCCAAGGTTTCGCTGTGTGTATTGCATTGTTGACATCCTGGGGGAATTTGACCATCATGTATAAGTGGTCATGGGTATTTATGTCCTTTGTCGGGAACAACAGAT